TTTTTTAAGATTGATTTATTTTTTATGTATACAGTATTCTACCTGAATGTACGCTTGCACACTAGAAGAGGGCACCAGATCTCATTATATAGATGGTTGTGAGCCACTGTGTGGTTGCTGGGAACTGAAGTCAGGACCTCTAGAAGAACAGCCAGTGCTCTTAACCGCTGAGCCATCTCTCCAGCCCCCGGGATTGTGTCTTCTGAAGGAGATCACAGAGAGTTATACTTCTTAATAAATGGAGTAGAGTGGCAGACACAAAAGGCCACAGTACTGCATATGTCTGAACGTTGTCTACTCAGGTCCCAAAGGTGCAGATGCCTTCTTTAGGCCTTTGGTTCCAAAGAAAGTGGGAGGCCGAGAATATAGTTTTTAATTTGTAAGAAAGGTCTTATAATGAGGATTATTTCTAGGAAATATGGGGACCTTGACAAACAGGGCAGACTCGTTGGAGGGGGACCTTGAACCACAGAGTCTAAGAACCACGGTGTCCAGTGTGATGAACTGGGCATCTGCACAATAAATTCATGTAAGGGCAGAGAGGCTAGAGAAATAGCCGCTAACTTAGCGCAAAAAGATACATTTTCTTTTCTCACAATCTGAAAGGCTCCCTCTTGTGGTTATAGGGAAGATATTTCCGGCATGGCCTAACTCCCAGGGCTCCCTCCCTGGGCGGTAGAGGAGATCCCTTATCGCCCTATCCTCACTCTGCTGGAGCGGTCCTGGTTCTCAGAGCATCAGGGAAGCCTGTTTCGGCCGTTTCCACATACCTTTTGTCTCTGTGCAGACGATGTATGTCTGTCTCTACTTTTTATTTTCACCCACATTTGACACTGTTTTTTTTTTTTAAAGTGCCTCTTCACTGCAAATGAATTACAAACGTTTTGTCTCTATTTCCCTATTGAGTCTTGGACTTTACAATCAGTTAATTCAGTGGTTCCCCACCTTCCTAATGCTGTGACCCTTTAATACAGTTCCTCATGTTGTGGTGACCCCCAACCATAAAATTATTTTCATTGCTTCTTCATAACTGTAACTTTGCTACTGTCATGAATCGTAATATAAACATCTGATATGCGGGATATCTGATATGTGACCCCTGTGAAAGGGTCATTCGACCCCCAAAGGGGTTGTGACCCACAGGCTGAGAACCTCTGAGCTGGTCAGAAAGTACCAGAACAGAGCTGGGGGTACAGTAAAATGCTAGTGCTAGAGAAGTTGCCTAACTCGTGACAGGTCCTTGTTAGGACCCCCAGGGCTGATAGAGAGAGGTAGAGAGAAAGGGAGCGGGAGGGAGGGAGAGTGAGAGGTTGATTACAATACTATCCTGCATCTGTAGCACAAAGTTTATCAGCAGACAGTCTTCAGGTCTGTCAAAAAGATGTGTATTCTTTCTAAACTTTTTTTTTTTTTTTCAGAGCTGAGGACCGAACCCAGGGCCTTGCGCTTGCTAGGCAAGCGCTCTACCACTGAGCTAAATCCCCAACCCCTCTTTCTAAACATTTTAAGGACATTTGTTATTACATTAAAGACTTACCCAGTTAATCACCTCTACAAAGACACTCTTTTCTCCCCAGATGCAGTAATAAATTTATCACAATTCACTCTACCATTCCTTCCCCGCTTTCTGAAGTTTCTGTGCGGCAGAACTGTAGGGGCCAGAGTTCCCAGGAGATGGCACTGTGCATCTGCACAGTAAAAGGAAGGAATCGGCGACTGAGTCTGCAAACTCGGTGCCTCAGGACAGTTAGTTAATGGTTTCTTATTACTTTCAAACCCAGCAAAGGTTGTACTTCTGTACAGAGTATCACTCTCACACTGCCTTCCTTCCTTGCGATGACATTGGGAACACCCAGGTATCTCTTTGCAGCAATAGAACACTGACTAAGACACCCAGGGTGAGTCTCAGAAGGATGGCAAGGTCTTTCTCTGGTCCATATGTGGATGCTGATAGTGTATGCAGAAAATCTCCACCATAGCTTTCTCCCCCAGGATATTTACAGCCTGAAGACTGCTCCCCAACAGAGATGCTCCTATGAGATTAACTAAGCCTGCCTCCTTGTTCACTATCTATAATAGCCCTGCCTCCTTGTTTATCTGTATTTTTATTTGTTAGTCTGTTGTGTCAGGTAAGGGCATTGTTGGCTCATTATAGCATTATAGAACAACTCACAGCTCCATTTAAACTCTGCCTCTGTCTCTGTCTCTCTGTCTCTGTCGTCTCTGTCTCTCTGTCTCTCTCTCTGTACATGCTGTGGAATATCTTTCTGTATGTTGTGAATATGTGTTGCTCCCAGTGGTTTCAAAGCCTCTCCCTGCTTACCTTCTTCTCAAGTGGTGCCTTCTTGCTGAATTATGCCATGTTGGAAAGAGCAGATTTTCTTAGAAGGTCACCATTTCTAGTCACGAACCCCCACCCTTAAGGCATAGTCACCTCCTCAGCTATTATTATATTGAAGACTAGGTTTCAACATACAAATTTTGACACCTTCAGGCCATAGTGCAAACAGACAACTAAAGCAGAATGGCTTGTCTCACGATGCAACAGAAAATCTATATGAATAGTTTCTCATACATCGTTGAGAAATTTTTTTTGACTTTATAGCAATGTCAGAGGATGCCATTTGGTAGACTTCAAATACTGAATTTTGAATATTTTTTTTCTGGGCCAATGACACAAAGGTCAATGCTGTCTGTAATACTGAGCAGTAGCAGGGAATTATAGCCCCCCCCCCCCCCCCGCCCCCCGAGTCAGCACCACACTCAGAAGGTAACTGGTGGACACCCTATAAAGCACTGTTGCTGTGCTAAGTTGCTCAGGTTAAGTATATTAAATTTAGTTTTATCTGCATGATATTTCCAGTGGGCAGTGGGTGAGATGGGGGTGTTTCCCACCATAACTTGAAGAGCAGTTTATTTTGTATTTGCACATGGCTTCTGGCACTAAAATTCCTGTGATTTCCTCAGTGATAAAAATAACAGGAACACCTGGTGTTATAGTATTTGGCCTTCTGTTCTCAGCTCCTGAAACATCTCTGTGTCTTTCACTATTCATAACAGACTTCAGACACACTGAGGGGATGATTTTGGGGGAATCACTTAAATAACTGCAGAATCGGGATTGGTCATGGGGGAACCAATCAGTGTGATGGAGAGTTCGAACTCAGCCTCCTTCCTCCCTCCTCAATCTCTGGGAAGATAGGAGAGGGACTGGAGGTTGAATTAATTGCCAACAGTTGATGACTTAATTAAAATAACCAATGAATTATGAATCTTCTGTTAGGATTCTCAACAAAAAGAGGTTGGGGTACTACTAAGCTGGTGAACAAGAATGCACTTATGTGGAGAAGTGGCTCAGCTCACACTCTGTAGGAACAGAAGCTGCCAGTTTATGTCAGAATTGAGTTAAATTGTAGGACACTCTGCCAGTGTCCTTTGAAGATGCAGAGGATTCATTTGTGTGGAGAATCTCATACCTTTGATATCAGAAATTTTGTGTGTGTGAGAGAGAGCAGTGAATTTTTCTTTTTTAGTATAATATAAAACAATATCACAAATAAAAACTTCTTTGTATAGCAAAGTGTATTAGGAAAATAATAATGGATATTTTTCCTCAACAGCATATTGTGAGTGACTTCTCACAATAGATTAGGGCCTGAATATAAAAACACTAACATAATAAAAGCAAACCAAAACTATGTTCACAGAAACTAACAACCAGGAGAGCTAGAAAGGTGCAGTCAGTATATGAACCAATGAGAAACTGTAAGTTAATCTGTTAGAACATATATTTGATTGCTTTAGAAAGTGGTAGGTTACCACTGAAGTCATATCCAAAGGATTACCTGCAGCAGGTAGTGAGGCTGAATGTTAAGGACTAACCTTTCATTCAGTCACAGCAGTTACTCCTCGTGTGGTGGTTTGAAAGAAAAAGACCCCCAAAAGGAGTGGCACTATTAGGAGGTGTGGCCTTGTTGGAGTAGGTATGGCCTTGTTGGAGGAAGTGTGTCACTGTAGGGGTGGTCTTGAGGTCTCCTATGCTCAAGCTACCCACAGTGAGTCAGACCACTTCCTGTTGTCTGGGATTCAAGATGTAAGGACTCTCAGCTCCTGTTCCAGCTCCAGGGCTGCCTGCATGCCGCCATGTTGCAACGTGATGATAACGGACTACACCTCTGAAAATCCAAGTCACTCCAATTAAATGTTTTGTTTTTCCTTTATAAGTGTTGCTGTGGTCAGGGTGTCTCTTCACAAGAAAAGAAACCCAAACTAAGACGCCTTTCTTCTTGCAGGTTACCCTAAGTCTGAAACAAAGAATTCCGTATTGCCCATTGAGTAGGTCAGGATTACTGATTCTTTTAATTCCTAGACACTTATTAGGATTGTTTTAACTTCCTATTTTTGAGATGATACATGACTACACACCTAATTGCTTAAAACAACATACACATTTATTCAATTTGTAGAACTCTGAAGTCAGAAATAAATCTTATGGGGGATAAAATCAAGTAGCAACATGGCACTGAAGAAAATTAATTTCATTGTCCTCAGTTTCTAGTGACCTTCTGTATTTCTTGGCTCATGAACCTTTGATCTATCTTCAAGAGACATCACTCCATTACTGCTTCCACCATCATACAATAATTTCCTCTTCTATAGTCAACTCACTGCCTGCCTCTTCTTATAAGGACATTTGTACTTGTAATTAGAATCCACCCTGACAATCCCAAAATAACCTTCCATTAATAAGATTCTTAGTCAAATTGTCATTGTCTCCTTTGCCACCCACAGCGGCATTCACAGATTCCAGATATTAAAATGAAAGTCCTTGGGAGACTATTTCAGGGCTAGAAATTGCAAACTGGAAGAGTAAAATAACATGGTAAGCATGGGATCATTTTGCAATGGTCATGATTTTAAGGGTCTAATGGTATGGTCAAGGAACCCTTCACTGAAATGAAGACACAGCCCCTGTTGCCATCTCAGGGATCTCAGGCTAGTGTGGGAAAGCAAGTTCTTCATATTGCTTGGCATGTAATTTTGGATCTTGAACAGAAGATGATCTTCTTCAAGAGACTCTTTTCCGTCTAGAAAGTATTACACAAGTTTTTGTAACAGCACATTACATAAGTCATTTTCTCTCCTTTATGGATCTCATTTTCACGGCAGTTAGACACACATAAATGTTGTGAGTACAGATGGTTTCCTCCTAAAAATAAAGAAGCCTGTTATACATGCTGGAGGAGATTATCTTAATACAACTACCTAAAAGTCACTGCCAAGAGGAAAACCCCTTCACACTGGATCCCCTTCCCTGGCTCCTTGGGGTCACACTCACATATTGACTCTGACTCTGGATGCCAAGCTCCTCAATGATGAATTAGAAAGTACTCTTTTCCCTCCTCCCAACATTTTACTCATTGCTTTACCACTTAGCAAGGTTCAATAATGGTAAGTTCTTTATCCCAGACACTAGTAGGAGTAATAGTCTTTTGAAGGCATTTTTTTTGAAGTCCGCATCAGCCCTACTTACGGGAGTAGTATGATACGGTAGAGCATGACTGACCATGGTGTGCAAAGCATCTTTCTTGGCCCTTAGTACATTTTGAATTTCTTGAGATCTCACAGACATTACAGATCAGACCTGTATTTGTTGAGTAAGGAAAGAATAGGATATTTAGGATGAACTACAGGGCTATGGAAACAAGTGATTACAAGATCAAAGAGAGGCTTCAGTGTTACACACAGACTATACTGTCTGTTTTCTCCATCAGCTAGTATTCAACCTAGCTTTGTGAGTTAAGCTAGGGGGTATGTGGTGATATATTGTGAACCCTAATAAAATTTGCCTGAAGATCAGAGAACAGAACAAACCACTATATTAAACATAGAGTCAGGCAGTGGTGGCACACACCTTTAATCCTAGCACTTGGGAGGCAGAGATCCATCTGGATCTCTGTGAGTTCAAAGCCACCCTGGACTACATAAGATTGGCTCAGTCTAGGAGAGAAACAGAGCCAGGCAGTGGTGGCACACACCTTTAATCCCAATACTTGGAAGTCACATGCCTTTAATCCCAGCACTAAGAAGGAAGTGACATGGCTGGGCGGAGAAAGGTGTATAAGGCATCTGGAGACAGGAACTGAAGGCTTTTTGGCTGAAACTCTCTTTTCAGCTGAAGAATTTTTGGCTGAGTACTTAGAGGCATTCAAATAGAGGATTTGTGGAGTTGGCAAGGTGAGACGTGGCAGTGGCTTGTTCCTTTGTGTCTCTGATCTTTCAGCATTTATACCAATATCTGGTTCCAGGTTTTTTATTACAAGACCATCTACCATTTGTGCAACAGGGTGGATTAAAACAATGGTGAAATTATTTTTGTTACCTGCTTAGTACCTGCTTATATTTGAAGATGAAACAAAAACAATAAGAATCAAATTATATATATATATATATATTACACATGTACACACACACACACACACACACACACACACACACACACACACATATATATATATATAATCAATTGGATGAATCGTATGATGCAATTTGAGTATAACAACAGACAGATTCCATTGGGCCGAGAAGGCAAGACTTCTGTAGCTCAGGACTTGAGTTGATTATTGGAGATATGGAAATGTAGGTTGGATCTGTGTGTTGGAGGATCTTATGAGGGGGGGCATAGAGGTTGGAATAACAGTGAAATGTTAGAGCAGGCTGAGGTGACATTCTTTGCTGATGATCCCACCTAGCTCAGCCCGACTTTCTCTCTTTCATAGAATGTCACCAAGTAGCAAAATGATCCAGGAATATCTGTGATCACGTAGTAACAGGGCAAGAGAGGCAGGACATGGAGAGGATATCAGAAAATATGACAAATTTAGCTTTTAGGATTAAGCAATATTGATAGAGAGAAAAGGGAATGTGTTAGTTCAACCTTTCATCTCACACATTCCAAGATTATTGAGTAAGAATCTATATGGAGTCAAGAAGGCCTTGAACGCCATTGACTTACATCCAGTTTCGAAGACAGTTTTGCAGCATCTGTCTTCTATATTTCACTCTCCCTGCTCTACTAAAACTGCCTTTACAAATGTTGCTAGTAATCCCTAATGACAAGTCTAAACCAAGAGTTTGTCCACTTATAAGTAATGATGACTTAAAGCATACAGGAAGATGTGCACAGGTGAGGGGCAAACATATTATAAAATTTTATATCAGGGACTTGAACATTCATGGCTTTTAGTATCAGGAGCAGACTTGGAGTGAGTTGCCTTTTATAATACAGTGAGATGGCCATACACTGTACATAATCTGCATCTTGATTTCCTTTTAACAATGTATGATATAAGCAAAATATTCCATTGCAGCTTTGTAGCATGCTTTAATTAATCAATTCCTTATGTACATTTGTTTCTACTTTTTGATATTACTTGCTACAGGAAATAACCCTGAACATTATTCACTATAATATAATGAGGTTGTTATCATGTAATTTCATTTGAATGTGATTGTATCTATAAGATAATTTCATATAAGCAGAATTTCTGGATAAAAATAAATTATTATTTTGATAGATTTTTCAAGATGCACTTTAAAGAAAAAGAAACCATGTATATTCTTGCTATCACTTTTTAGGTATTCTTATCTCACTGCAGCTAGGACACGGTAGTGTGGTGTTCAGTTTCTACTGTTGACAATAGGATCATTTAATACGTACTTCTCTTACTACATAAGGAGTGAGGCTGAGCACAATTTTGTATATTTAATAGCCATTTGTATTTACTATATGGTGAACTTTTGATGTTTTTAACTTATTTTTCTGTTAGATTATTAGTGTATATTTAAATTCTTTTATTGGAGGTCATCATATATTAGGGACATTAGCTATTTTCTACAACATGAATTGACTTTTTGCTTTTTACTATGAGGAATTTTTAAATTTTTCTTTCTTTTTTTATATTATTTTATTTTTGACATAATTATATAATTACATCACTTCTCCCTTCCTTTTCCTCCCTTCAAGACCTCTTATATGCCCTCCTTGCTCTCTTTCCAGTTCATCTGGTCTTTCTTCTAAGAGCTCTAGGTTTTTGAGTTATAGTTAGAAAGGTCTTTCCCAAATTGGTAAAAGAATAATCCTTCATTTTCTCTAATACTTTATGGTTTAGCAGTTCTTAGTATTAAAAGGGGGACAAAATAGAAACACCACTGTACTTCCAGTACATTTCATAAGTAAGATGAATAGGAATTAGACATTGATTTTCATTAAGTCATGAAGGAGAACTAGGTGTCAAGGCTGACTTTTGAGCGGAGTGTGCATTCACTGGTGTGAGATGGAGGATGAGCAGAGAGATTTGCTTGAGGAGTGAAGCTCGCTATTTTCAGCTATAAATTGTAATTGGAGCCTTGGAAGCAGAAGGGGATCTGTGTGAGTAGTATTGAGCTTTGAAGAGCCCACAGTGAATCAGGTAGATAAAGATTCCTGCTGACCTAACACCTGCAAAATACGTGGAGAAGAAGTAATGAGAGACAAGAAAAGGGAAGGAGGGGAGTGTTGTGTAGAATGCAGCATAACAGTGTTCCAAGAAAAGGGGAATGAAATGGAAACCCAGGAATGAAAACTCAAAAACTGGAGGTCTGAAAATTGCTGTCTTGTTTCTCTGTGGTTCCTCTGTTCTCTTCTTGATTAATATATCCTGTCATCTCTTTAATGCTCAGAACCTCAGTCTTGAGGTTTGAGTTGCAAAGACTGAGTGAGACTGGAGGACAGTGGTTTAGAAAATAGCACCCCTAAGACCTCCCTCCCCTCCCCATGGTGCAAACTTACTCTCCACGGAGCAGAGAAGAGATAAGGTCACGATGAGCAGTGTGCTGATTTTTGTCGCTGGATTCATGCTGGATGATAGAAGGTGGCTTGAGGAACTGTAAAGGATGGCCACTCACTCCCTTTTTAAAGTTGGAGAACAGGAAGAAATCTCCAACACTGGCAGAAGGAGGAAATGCCCTTTTCTATTTACTTTTGAGAAACTGTATGTATGATAATATTGGAAGTACAGGCTGCCCAGCTGTCTAGCTGCAGCTGAGTCAGAGAGCTTCCTTCCCTTATCTCATCTTCTCTGTGTGCAAGTGTGTGAGATGTAGTTTTCTGGTCCTTCAGAAACTTTTCTCTATATAATAAGTGGAAAATGTCTGCTCATCCTTGACTTCAGAAATGGTGACTCAGAAATCAAAGGCTTCCAGAGAAGGAACATGTAACATGGTTTCCTGCATAGCTTATTCCAATGGTGGAAAACTCTCCAGTTTGAGACTGGGAAAGGAGGAGGTTTGAGCCTAAGAATCTACACACGACTCCCTGGCTTCTGTCTTCCAACATTTCCATCTTTCCTCCTCAGGAAGTTCTAGTGCTTATCATGCTGAAAGTCTGGGATATCTGCAAGTCTGGGATATCTCAGGTTCCCAGCAAATCTTATGGTTGGGAAGTTCAGGGGTGAAGGCAGAAATGAGGGTGCTTCTCAGAGGCATTTCCGGTGAGAGCTCCTTCTTGGGGTCTGAGCACAGTTTCTGACTATTTCCTGCCCTGGCCCTTCTGGAATTAAAACTAGGACCATGCCTCCACCACACTTAGCCCTGTCTCACACAATGTCCCTGCTGTGGACTCTAGGGAAATGAAATATCATGGTCTCAGCCTCACTCTGAGCCATTCAGCTACATTCTAAAACAAACTTCTGGAAGAAAATTTCTTGCTTGTCCTTGTGGCCTCCCCAACTTCTCAGGGAGATTTACTTCCTTCATGAAGGATGCCATCTCTGGTGGGGTGCATTCTCTCCACCCCATTCTAGTTATTACCAGGTCTCATTACCTTTCTCTTCCAGGTGACCTTGTCTTTGTGTAGCTCCATTGTCTGGGCTTCATTTAAAAGCCATAACCATGAAGATCTTTTCTGTTTCCTTGTTGGTCTTGTCCTCTGTGGGGATTAGGTGTGTGACCTGTTCTAAGACCTTAACAGACAGGGCTCTCTCCCTTTTCTTCTGCACCTTTCACATACTGGATCCTAAAAACAACTCTGGGAAGTATAGATAATAATTATCATTTCTTCAAATGAAATTATAGGCTCAGAAAGGTTCAGTCATGTACCTAAGGTCACACAGCAGCTAGCAAACTTCAGAGGATGTGAAACCATGATTGTCAGCAACAGAGTTACATCTGAGATAAATTTACAAATCATACATTTATTCCTATTAGTGGGATTTTGGTGTATTCCTCAACCTTTGAGAAAAAAATATTAATTTTTAATCCAGTTCCTGACACTGCACCACAGTGAACAGGAATTAAATGATATATTCTTAGAGTTATATACTTTGTATGAGCTCCTGATTGCTATGGTAAAAACAAACTCCCAAGAGTGGCTTTTGATACCATGAATTACTCTTCTAATGTTCCAGAGGCATACAATCTTATGGAGCTACAATAAAGACACAATAAAAATGTCAGCAACAGGCTATTTCCTTCTGGAGATACTAAAGAAGAAAATATATTTTCCTCCAGTATCCCATAGCTTGTGACCCATTTCTCCATCTTCGAAGCATATAACTTCAAAAATCTGCTTTCATCATTATATCACATTCCTCATTCTACAGTCAACTGCCTCTCTCAGATTCTGATAATCAAGTACATGGCTTTTCATGTGCTAGGCAGGTTTTCTACCTTTAAACTATGTCCTCAGCCCCTACTTCTCTTTTATAAGGTTATTTGTGATCATATTTAGGGGCCCAACCACATGAAACATGATGACCTTTCATCCCACTGTCCTTACCATAATCTTTTGGGGCATAAACAGTAACATTCCCCAATAACAGAGATTGGGATATAAAAATATTTGAAAGTCATTATGCAGTTTTTTCTATTTAGTACTGTGAACTCGACACAGCCTAGATCACTTGAAAAAGACTCAATTTGATAATTGTCTTTATCAGGTTAGTTTGTGGTCATGTCAGTGGGGGATTGTCTTGGTTGTTAATTGATTCAGAAGAGTCCAGTTCACTGTAGGTGGCACCATTCCTGTGCAGGTGATCCTGGACTGGATAAGTATGAACCTGTGAGTGATCCAGACACACAGAGAGAGAGAGGCAAAGAGAGACACAGAGATAGATAGATAGATAGATAGATAGATAGATAGATAGATAGATAGATAGATAGATAGAAGACAGATACAGACAGACAGACAGACATACAGAGAGAGAGAGAGAGAGAGAGAGAGAGAGAGAGAGAGAGAGAGAGAGAGAGAGAGAGAGAGAGAGAGAGGCCGAGCCAGTGAGTGAGCCAGAAAGCAGTGTTCCTTCATGGCTCGTCTCCAGATTCCTGCCTTGAGTTCATGCCCCAACTTTCCTCAGTGATGGATCATGGAAGTGCAAGCCAAATAAACTCATTCTTCCCTTAGTTGACTTTATTAAAAGTGAGAATGCTTTATCATGGCAACAGAAAGAAAATAAAACACTATCCACTATGCACTCTCAGTACCAAGATCATGACACCATCTCTGTGGGCCCTTCTGTTTGCCCAAAGGCTCCCTCTGCAATAAGGTGCGTCTCTCTCTGCCTGGCCTACTCACACCCGTATATCTTCTTCATTTGTGCGGTAGCAAACACCCGCTTCTTTAACAGTCTGTCCCATTATTTAAAACTTCTATCCGTTCACATTTGCTCTTCCTCTGGTGCCTTCACTGTCTTTTCCACTGAACTACTTTCTTATTAGCTTTCAAAGTCCTCTTTTGCTCTCTATTTGTTAAATTTTATTTTAATTAAAGTGTAGTTATATCATTCCCCCTTCCCTTTCCTCCCTCCAATCCCTTCTGCATCCTTCCCCTCACTCTCTCAAATTCAAGACCTCATCTCCTTTTCTTTTATTATTATTGTTACACATATATACATAAAATCTGCTGAGTCCTTTTAGTGTTGCTTGTGTGTATTTGATTTCAGGACTGATAATTTGTACCAATGATATCTCAGGGAGATTTACTTCCTTCATGAAGGATGCCATCTCTGGTGGGGTGCATTCTCTCCACCCCATTCTAGTTGTTACCAGGTCTCATTACCTTTCTCTTCCAGGTGACCTTGTCTTTGTGTAGCTCCATTGTCTGGGCTTCATTTAAAAGCCATAACCATGAAGATCTTTTCTGTTTCCTTGTTGGTCTTGTCCTCTGTGGGGATTAGGTGTGTGACCTGTTCTAAGACCTTAACAGACAGGGCTCTCTCCCTTTTCTTCTGCACCTTTCACATACTGGATCCTAAAAACAACTCTGGGAAGTATAGATAATAATTATCATTTCTTCAAATGAAATTATAGGCTCAGAAAGGTTCAGTCATGTACCTAAGGTCACACAGCAGCTAGCAAACTTCAGAGGATGTGAAACCATGATTGTCAGCAACAGAGTTACATCTGAGATAAATTTACAAATCATACATTTATTCCTATTAGTGGGATTTTGGTGTATTCCTCAACCTTTGAGAAAAAAATATTAATTTTTAATCCAGTTCCTGACACTGCACCACAGTGAACAGGAATTAAATGATATATTCTTAGAGTTATATACTTTGTATGAGCTCCTGATTGCTATGGTAAAAATAAACTCCCAAGAGTGGCTTTTGATACCATGAATTACTCTTCTAATGTTCCAGAGGCATACAATCTTATGGAGCTACAATAAAGACACAATAAAAATGTCAGCAACAGGCTATTTCCTTCTGGAGATACTAAAGAAGAAAATATATTTTCCTCCAGTATCCCATAGCTTGTGACCCATTTCTCCATCTTCGAAGCATATAACTTCAAAAATCTGCTTTCATCATTATATCACATTCCTCATTCTACAGTCAACTGCCTCTCTCAGATTCTGATAATCAAGTACATGGCTTTTCATGTGCTAGGCAGGTTTTCTACCTTTAAACTATGTCCTCAGCCCCTACTTCTCTTTTATAAGGTTATTTGTGATCATATTTAGGGGCCCAACCACATGAAACATGATGACCTTTCATCCCACTGTCCTTACCATAATCTTTTGGGGCATAAACAGTAACATTCCCCAATAACAGAGATTGGGATATAAAAATATTTGAAAGTCATTATGCAGTTTTTTCTATTTAGTACTGTGAACTCGACACAGCCTAGATCACTTGAAAAAGACTCAATTTGATAATTGTCTTTATCAGGTTAGTTTGTGGTCATGTCTGTGGGGGATTGTCTTGGTTGTTAATTGATTCAGAAGAGTCCAGTTCACTGTAGGTGGCACCATTCCTGTGCAGGTGATCCTGGACTGGATAAGTATGAACCTGTGAGTGATCCAGACACACAGAGAGAGAGAGACAAAGAGAGACACAGAGATAGATAGATAGATAGATAGATAGATAGATAGATAGAAGACAGATACAGACAGACAGACAGACAGACATACAGAGAGAGAGAGAGAGAGAGAGAGAGAGAGAGAGAGAGAGAGAGAGAGAGAGAGAGAGAGAGGCCGAGCCAGTGAGTGAGCCAGAAAGCAGTGTTCCTTCATGGCTCGTCTCCAGATTCCTGCCTTGAGTTCATGCCCCAACTTTCCTCAGTGATGGATCATGGAAGTGCAAGCCAAATAAACTCATTCTTCCCTTAGTTGACTTTATTAAAAGTGAGAATGCTTTATCATGGCAACAGAAAGAAAATAAAACACTATCCACTATGCACTCTCAGTACCAAGATCATGACACCATCTCTGTGGGCCCTTCTGTTTGCCCAAAGGCTCCCTCTGCAATAAGGTGCGTCTCTCTCTGCCTGGCCTACTCACACCCATATATCTTCTTCATTTGTGTGGTAGCAAACACCCGCTTCTTTAACAGTCTGTCCCATTATTTAAAACTTCTATCCGTTCACATTTGCTCTTCCTCTGGTGCCTTCACTGTCTTTTCCACTGAACTACTTTCT